CCCCAAAACCCCAAAACCCCAAAACCCCTCTAAGCATTATAATTGAAATAAAAGGCAGTGATTTAATTTTAGAAGAAATAATAAGTATTAATAAAGCAATAGATAAAGATGCTGAGAAATCACTCTATGCCTCATTTAAAGAATTTAAGCAGCATAAACTCTGCGTGATCTGTACCTATATCTCCAATGGTACCTACAAGACTTTAAAATAACAATGTTAATTAAATTGGTAACTACTTTCATCATTTACAATTTAGATAACCTAACAAATGAAAATAACATGAAGCTTGACACTTGAAAAATTTCTTTGAGCAAAATAAACGAATTCGGATATTAAACAGAGAGAGGATTTATGAAGACGAGACTCGGAACAGAGTAAAATTACAATCATAATTTAAAAAGAGATAATTCAAATAAGCGATCTCCAAAGTCCTCTATGACTACTCCTATGAAAGGGTAAAACTAATATCCTGCAATTATTCTTAATATTCATAATATAGATTTCCAAAACCTTAATTTGATAAATATTAATTATATTCAGACCGACATTATTCTAACCCGAGCAAATTGCCAGCAATCAGTCACAGAACTCATAGGTCTGTATCAACTATTGCACTATTAACAGAAAACCAAAATAATACACTCAGAAATGAACTTAAGAATCTTGATGATTTGCATCAGGAAATGGAAAATGTTATAACTGGTGGTAAATTAAATGCTAAAATAGATCCAAAATTACTTATGAAGGAAACAGATAAAGGATTTCAAATAGTAACAGCAAGATTGAATCGAGTAATTTATTCTTTGGGTACCTAGAAGCTAGATAACTAAAAAGAGTAGATTTATACTTTAAAGCCACATAACGGGTTGTACTGCTATGTCAACACCCTGATGAGAGAAACCCCTCTCTATTTATATTTGAAAAAATAAAATGATAATACTAATTTAACAGTTTATTACTCAAGAATACATAAAAATCCTGATTATGAAAATAATGAAGGTTCATCTCGAGGCTATAAAGTCATTGTTAATGAATATAATGATCCTATCTTTTAAAGTGAAAATGTTTATTTCGGTATATTCACTGACACAGGCTGTACCTTTTAAATAACTTACAGTTTTAAACATGACATCCCTTTAAGAGCATTCGGATCTCCAGTTAGAAGGGGCTCTAAAAAGAAAAGAAGAACTGTTGAAATTCTGAAGAAAAATCCATTAGATTTTCTTGATGAGGAGGAAGATCAAGATTAGTAATAGGAGAGGAAAAAGCATCATCATGATTACTTTAAGTAAAAAATTCAAGCAATTTTATCAGATGGAAGAGTCCTAAAATCATTCCTTGGTAGAATTAGGGATATAAAGGATAAGAGATAGCAAGAATAGGCAGCTAAAAAGATTTAAAACAAGGAGCATTAACAGAGACAAATCATGAAGATACTATCAGTATAATAGTAGAGTAATTTTGATAACTCTACAACTATAAATTGGAATAGTACGATGCAAGAATCTAAATTTGGAATGAATCTTACAAGACTTGAATTTAAAATCCAGTAAACTCTTGACAGAAAGACTAAACTAGATGAGGAAAATTTTAAAAAGAAAATATTCTTGCTGAATAAAAGGGAATATTTGAAAGATTTTAGAGAATAAGAAGCATAGAAGGCGAATGAAATTTATAGAAGAACTTAGAAATGCAGAACATGGATAGAGTTTCATGTCCTAGCTGATATTATAAAATTACTAAAGCAAAGGTTCAGTGAAAGTTAAAAGAAAAGAGAACTAAATTTAAAGAAGCTGAAATGTGCTATAAGTATTTAAAGAATGATTAAGAGAGTATTGAGAAAAAGAAGATATACTCTTTAGAAAAGATTATAGTATAATGTAATGAGATCACTTACCTTTTCTGGAAATCAGATATTTGATTCGACAGAGTTCAGGGCAAAAAATAAGCTTCTCGTTTTCATCAAGTAAACCTCAGATTTGCACTATCTTAAATTGAAACTCTTAAAATTTCATAGTAATATTGAAAAAGTATAGAATTGTATAAAATCCTCTATTTAAAAAAAAAGAGCAAGGGAGGTAACATTGTTTTAGCTGTATCATGATTTTGTGTTAACAGTTATCACGATGAACACAATGGCTATCTAATAATAAAATTCTGGCAAAAGAAAAAAGGATTAGAAAAGAGATAATTTCCCTATTGAAAAGTTAAATGAATAATCTTAGGATATAAAAATGAAGTATATCAAGCAATATTTGGCATTAAAAGAATTTAAGTTCATGTATGAATATGTAAAATGGAGCGTAATTAATCATAAAAAATTAGCGAATCCTACTCTCATAGTCAAACTAAAAAACTAGATCTCTATCCTGGAGAAAAATATGTCAGACTAAGACTTCAGATATACATTTAATCCGCTTTAAGCCCAGTTGCTAAACTTAATTAGACCTTAAGATCCCCCTATTCCTAAGAATTAGACTCCTATAAATTGTGATCTTAAAGTGGGGCTAAGATTTTAGGATATTTGGACTAGTGTTACAAATTTAAAATCAATATAAGATGAGCAGTTAGTCAATGAATTATCTGAAATTTTAGAAGTGACTCCTGAGGAGATAAAAAATATTCCAGAAGAATTACAAAGAAGGCCAAGATTCTAAATCAATCCAACTAAGGATGAATTATGGTCCATTTTTATGAAGGTGTATCTCTTGAATTGACTAGTCCTAAGGAATTAATCTGATACCTTTAGATTCTTCCCTAATCATTATTACTTATAATAGATTTTTATTTTAAAAGCTTAATTAATTTGAACTATTCCAACTATCATCGGGGGTTTTGGGGTTTTGGGG